CGAATGAGCCAGCTTTTTAATTAATGAAAACAAATTACAAAACTAATCGAGATATTCTAAAGCGTGTTTAATTATATACATAGGAGACCAATTCAATAAATGCAAATACGTAAACTAAAGTAAATTTGTGATTTTCGTAACTATATTTCATTTAAAGCTGTGAATGTTTAAAAACAAATGCATCATGATGGAATGTCAAAAAACGGCTTCTAGATTTGACAAAAGCTTGCCACATATTGTTTAAAACAGCGAGAAAATTTTGAAAAGTTTGTGACCATTACAAAACACGTAGTTGACTGTTCAAAAAAGTTTTGAAAAGACTGTTGAACGCTCATCATATTATCAGACTGTCAAACAAAACACGTCCAGATAGTAGGTTAACACCCAAACAATTGAACTTGTAAACATTTAATGCCCCGCCCCCCAATTTAAAATAAAATGCCGAAAATTGATCAACCCATTTTAAAAGTCAAGGTGCATTCTAAGTTGAGCGTGTCACAAAACAGCGTTTAATGTTGTGCAAACAGACAGGGAAGTTGGCGAAGTTTCTTGGAAATTTTACCGATGCTGTTGTCATATAGAATCATAGTTCAAAATGTCACAAAACGATATCAGGAATGTGTAGACAAACTTTCTAATCATCCAATCGATATAATACTTCTAAACTTCGAATGGCATGCAAAAATAGCGGGCTGCCAAAGCAGATTCGACAGATGATAGACCTGTCTTTAAAGGGTGGTGGTCGTCGTCGCGCAGTATCCTGCTCGATATGGGACTCATAGCAACGTATACAACGCATGTAAAATACATTGTTTACTTACATAAAATTCGAACACGCGCTGTGTGACGACCTTTAAAGTTAAGCGGCATTGAACAAGTATAGTACTGCCATGGGAGACCAATTGAACAAACCATCTAGCCCATTTAACTATTGTTTTTTTTTAATTCTGTCATATACATACAAATTGCATATCAATTTATGGTATATTGATGATAACCTTTTATTTAAAGTCATCAAAACAGCCTCAAATGTTAATGGAAAGTTTAAAGATTTGTACAAAATGTAAAAAGAAATTGGCTTATGATAATGTAGCTGGCAAAGGTTGTCTGTAACCTGTTAAAATCGTGTTGTGCCGTGCAAAGTTGTGAAGATGAAAGTTCTCTGTTCATTCTCTACTTGGCTATACAGGTGTTTACATTGGCGTGCCGTTAAGTTGCAGCACATTGTAGCATGGGCATGGCATATGATTTCTATGTGGGGACAATATTGTCAGTTATCTATGCTTCAAAAGGACTCTGCTCACACAGAAAGTCAGGAGGCTGACCCACTACCATTGAACATTCCAATAGAAGTGTTCTAACAACTCAAGAACTGTCCCATCTTTATACACACAGTGTCTCAAAAACAGTACAATTTGTTTTACCACTATAATTACTATTATTACCATACAATGGTCTCTGCACACCATACAATGGTCTCTGCACACCATACAATGGTCTCTGCACACCATACAATGGTCTCTGCACACCACACAATGGTCTCTGCACACCACACAATGGTCTCTGCACACCACACAATGGTCTCTGCACACCACACAATGGTCTCTGCACACCACACAATGGTCTCTGCACACCATACAATGGTCTCTGCACACCATACTCCATTCACAGGTGGTTACATTGGTTTACAATGTAGCAAATAGGGATAATAGTTCTGCCTATGATGGGTAATATCAGAATAACTATTTATAGCTTTGGTAGGAACTCCATTCAAAAGACTAAGCGCTAATTACCACCACATACAGTCATACCATTCTGGTCTTTGTTAGTGGTGTTGGGACAATCCTCACCCCCTCCAACTGCTCTTTAGTGGTCTTGGCTTCAGGTAGGAGATGCAGCAAGTTGTCGTCTCTAACTTACTGAAAATTTTGCAGTCTCTCAAGTTGATTCAGTTACTTTGTGGACCAATCACACTTTTGTATAAAACTATGGCTTGATGAGTCGTCTTACTCGTACATTATCATAACACGTTTTGGCACTCTGGTATCTGAAGTCATACACCACTGTTAGTTTCCATTACCTGAGGGATCCTTTCCTGGACAGTACCTGGAAAATGCCTGAAAAGCCAGAAGCAATGTTTTTTAATACTGGTAATGAAAATTACAAATGACTCCACCATTCATCGTTTGAAACATTATTTCAGATGTCCAGCTCAATCTGATGTATTGTATGGAGTGTATTTTTTACTTTTACTGGTTTTTTTATTTTATTTTGAGAAATTGTATTATTTTATGTTTTTTTATGTATTTTTTTTTAACTATTGCAATTACCAAAACTTCAAAAAACTATCAAAAAATAAATACTAGATCAAAATTAAAAAAAAAAAAAAAAAATTAAAAAAAAAAAAAAATAAAAAAATTAAAAAAAGCCAAATCTCGGATCTTATGTTAATCAGATTGATATCCAGCTGTAACCGTGGGACAGAATCAGCATATAACATTAGCAGCATTTAGACTATATCAGCATAATTTTGACAAAATTAGCAGCATTTAGAAAATATTGGCAGCATTTAGTCAATATTAGCAGCATTTAGAAAATATTAGCAGCATTTAGTCAATATTAGCAGT